TTACTGATTAATAAACGGGGCCCAGCCCACTGATTGAAGGGCCCAAGCCCATTGTGAGTGAAGGGTCCAGCTCACTGTGGCCATGCCCTCCCTGGCAGATGAGCCTGGGCTGCATAAGAAAGGTACCTGAACTTGAGCTGTAGAACGAGCCAGTGAGTGGTCTTCCTCTGTGGTTCGGGCCCCTGCTGCTGCTTGAGTTCCTCCTCGTTCTGACTCAGTGCTCAGTGTAAGCCAATGAAACACTCTCCTTCCTGAGTTGCTATTGGCTACGGTGTTCTCATAGCAACAACAAGCAAATTAGAACCGTGGTTCCATGGCCTTGAGCCTCAAGTGACACAGGATGAGATGGTGGATAGGCGATGGAGCAGAGCAACTGCCTCATTGAAGCTGGAAGCAGAATCCGGGGAACCCAGGACGAGATAACACCCTTTAGAGGGGTTAGTGGTGGTCGGTGTCTGGACCATGCACATGCTCCCAGACTCTTGGCATCTTTTTTCAAAGGAGTTTGAAAAGATACACACTTAAGAAGCAAGACAGTTCTACTAAGATCAAAGAGAAAGCACAAATTTGGGGTGCACAGCCCAGAGAAGCAGAGAGCCACCTGAGTGAGCGAGCACTCAAGGGCCACGGAGTTCAGTAGATACAGGGTGTAGTGAGGGTGGTTTCCCATTTTGATGTCCATGTGTGAGTTATATGACCTTTTCCCTCTGCCTTGTAATCTGTTTATTTATTGATCTTGGATGAACTTAATGCCCTCATGATCCAATTACCTCTCAATAATGCCACCAGCTGGGGAGCAAACATGGATTTGAGAGAGGACGTGTCATGTTCAGACTTTAACATCTGATAAGATTCGTGTCATGGGCCCAGCAATGGCTCAGCTTGTAAAGTTATTCACCAATTTTGATAGTCTGAGTTTAATCCCTGGGACTCATATGGTGGGAAGAAGACAACTGAATCCAAAAAGCTCACATCCTAGTGCTTTTTATTTCTGAAATTACAGTGTTTTTATTCATTGCATTGGGGGGCTTGTTTTTGTTTTGTTTCGTTTTGCTTTTTTAAGACAGGATCTCGTGTAGCCCAGGCTAGCTTCAAACTTGCTGTGTAGATGACCCTGAACATTTAACTTCCTACCTCTGCCTCCCAAGTGCTGGGATTACGTGAATGAACACCAAAAACACAAAGTGTTACGTTCTCTTGCCCAGACACCTTAGAACACTCAGGATGGGGTCTCACCTCTGTCTTGGCTTCCTTCCCTGAGGAAGGACTTCATCTTCTCACGTCTTTCCTATCCCCGAGTGTGATGACTACAGAATCTCTGGTAGTGACTCCTAGGAGAATAGAGGGACCCTGCACCCACCCAGCGCTGTGCTGGATGGTAGAGGTTCCTGTTGAGGCAGGGTGGACATGTTCCTGAGGGAAATGGGCCATCCAGTGGATAAGCAGCAAGGAGAGAATGTTTTTAGAATACATTTGTTTCTAAGTCGGTGACTGAAGTCCTCATTAGTCCTGTCTGGGCTCTGAGTGGCGGGAGCTCCTGAATGCCTCCCCACAGGACAGGCAGAAGCAGGTTCAAGGCAGCAAAGTCCAGGTAAACAACAGGCTGGAAGAGGGGGGGGGATAGTTAACATTGTGGGTTTTGTGATGCAAATACA